TCATTGTTGTTTGGCGGGTCCGGGCTGGGGATTCGAACCTGCCACCTTAGGTGTACATGGCTGGCGCCTTAGCTGGTTGAGCCACAGGCGCCAAGCCTAAAACAAAGTTCTTAATGGATAGTCATCTATCTATTTATCTAGGACAGTTGACTTAATTCTTTAATAGCACCATAGTTTGAGTAATCACTGAACAGAATATGAAATTCATTGTCTCCTAGCATATTTATCACTCTTTCCTCTGAAAAACTGTCTAATAACAGATTAGAAACATTTCTGTAAGATTTCACTGCACAGAGTTTAGAATCTGGTATTTCAGGTTGAATTTTTTTTGTTAATTTTTAAGAAGTTTTAATGGTTTGTCGTACAGGTGCATTTAAAAAATGATTGCCAGTTTGAGGAGCTTCCATGTGTGCGTGCTGACTGCAAAGAAAAAGTCTTGAGAAAAGACCTGCGTGATCACGTGGAAAAGGCTTGTAAATACCGGGAGGCCACGTGCAGTCACTGCAAAAGTCAAGTCCCCATGATCACATTGCAGGTGCAGTACCTTCCTGTTTTGCCTGCTTTCTGCTTACTTCAGATGTGATTGCTCTGCAGTACCACTTTCCAAATGACTATTCTAACAGAGAAAAGAAAAAAGATAGGCATAAATAGCAATTTTCATCTAACTTTATTTCAGAGTTAGGCTTTATGTGTTTTGCCTATTTTGATTTATATAATTAACATTTTCCATTGCCTTGATTATCATTTGAGGTGTCAAAGAAATAAAGAATAATTATTAAAAAAAGGTAGAATTTTTATTTTGTCCCAGGGAATGGCCTCAAAATTTTGATGGATTGCCTGATCTTTTTACAGCTCTGTAACATAAACATCACTTAACAGTTATCGTGCATCATTGAAATGCAGGTGTCTATTCTGGGAGAGATGAAAACTTAGAATGTTTTCATGCTTCAGTTATTTTGGCATGTTCTATATTGTGTGTTTGTATGTGTTATTTTCATATCACTTTTGTGTAAATTAAAGAGGAAAGGAGAGCTGTTGAGGGTAGAGGATAAACTTTTAGAATAGTCCATTCATTAAACATTAAGTACCTAAAGTACTATGTGCTAGACACCATTCTAGGAGCTGGGGATTCAGTGGTGGAGATTCACTTTCTAGTGGGAAGAGATAAACAACAAACATATAGTGCTATGTAGTAATAAGTCCTATGTAGAAAAAGTCAGCTGGCATCAAGGGAAAGGTGATCAGGACAGGCTTCTCTGAGATAGGCCAGACAGCGAGATAGCATGTAGACTTTTCAGGGACTGTGAGAAACATGGGTGAGATGCAAAGGTGGTGGAGCAGGGGTGTCAGGCAGGCAAGAGGAGAATGCTAGGCCAGGTGGTAGTGCTGGGGAGGGGCCGTGGTACTGGGTGCACCTGAGGGTGGAGAGAGAGGATTGGCTTATGGCTGGAATGTGGTGTTTAAAGGAAAGATGAAACTAGCACTTGTGATGAACCGAAGCATCTTGCCAAGGTGAGGCTCAGTAGCAGGGGTCCTTAAACTACAGCCCACAGGCCACATGCGGCCCGCCTAGGACATTTATCCCGCCTGCTGGGTGTTTTTGCCACCTGCTGCCTGTCTTGCTTAGCAGCTGACTTGTCCTGGGGCCCACAATCCAGCCCTCCAACGGTCTGAGTGAGGGACAGTGAACTGGCCCCTGTTTAAAAAGTTTGAGGACCTCTGGTTTAGGGTAACAGGCTTGAGGGGAGAACAGGTATAGGAAATAGTCCAGGGTGTAGATACATGGGAACTAATGTTCTTGGGGTCTTAGGACTAGAGGGAAGAACCAATAGTCACAGAGGCCTGGGCACGTGCTCTCTGGACTTGGCAGCATGGTGGCTAAAGGGAAGAGACCAAGGAAATGCATCCAGAGTATGAGAGCCACTGCTGAATTCCTGGCAGATATTCTGGAGCTCTTTTTTTTTTTTTTGAGACAGAGCCTCAAGCTGTCCCCCTGGGTAGAGTACCGTGGCATTACAGCTCACAGCAACCTCCAACTCCTGGGCTCAAGCGAGTCTCCTGCCTCTGCCTCCCAAGTAGCTGGGACCACAGGCGCCCGCCACAACGCCCGGCTATTTTTTGGTTGCAGCCGTCATTGTTGTTTTGGCGGGTCCGGGCTGGAGATTCGAACCCGCCACCTTAGGTGTACGTGGCTGGTGCCTTAGCCAGTTGAGCTATAGGCGCCGAGCCTATTCTGGAGCTCTTAATGACCAAAATCTAGAGAAAAATTTCTTTACTTTTCTTAATGAAGTGAGACATATTTACCTTCCTATAACTTCCTGTGCCTATAGTTTTCTTCCATTGTGAAGTTTTTTGTTTTTTTTTTAAATTGTCCTGTATACCTTTCCAGTTATTCAGAACTCTTGAGAACTATGCCCTCCCCTTTGGGAAATAGCAATAGTATTTGTCATGAACAAATAATTCTTCCAGTAGTTAAATTCTAATGAATGAGATATACCTAATGAATGATACTTTAAGCCTTACACATGTTAGTGTGTTGCTATCAAACTTAGACTGCTTCTTATAAAAATAAATTACATTTATTTGCAGAATAGATGTCCATCAATTATTTTTGTTTGAGAAGGAATTGTAGAACATGTCAACTAAATATTACATAAGTGACTGAACAGCAGAGAAGGTCTAAGAGGCAGATTCTAAAACTGGTGGTAGTACATGGATTCACAAAATGTTTGTTGAGTGCTTGCTGGGTGCCAGGCCCTAGGGAAATTGTGGTTTCCCTACTTCAGGTTACAGTCACATACACATTTAAATATACTGTAGGATAGAAAGTGCTGTGACTGTACCATGAATAATATACAACGAGGAAGGACCAGTTAACTCACAGGGACCGTGAAAGAATTTGGTGAAGAGATGGCATTTGATTTGATCTAGGTCTTGAATTTTTCAACCAAACACAGGGGAGAAAGACAATAGGTACTAAGGAATAGAATGATAATCAGTAAGTTTGGGACCTGAGTTGAACAGTTAAATATTCCTTATAAATCTTTCTGTACTCTTGTGATGACAACTATTTCTACTGTCTTTTTTCAGAGGTTCAGGGTCTCACTCTGTTGTGCTGGGTAGAGTGCAGAGATGTCATTATAGCTCACTACAGCCTCAATCTCCTGAGCTGAAGCAATCTTCTTGCCTTAGCTTTTTGAATAGCTGGGACTATAGACTCTTGCACCTGGCTAGATTTTTCTATTTTTGGTAGAAGTGTAGTCTTACTCTTACTCAAAGCTGGTTTTGAACTCCTGAGCTTGGGCCATCCTCCCACCTCAGCTTCCCAGAGTGCAGGATTACAGGCGTAAGCCACTGGACCTGGCCTAGGAAAACTACTTTTAAATGGTTTTAACAATGTTGATGCTAGAGTACCTTTTAAGGCATATGCTGCTTTGTCTCAGGGCCTGTAGTATTTATAACAAGAATGTGTGTTGGAGGTTCCTACTATGTGTCCCTTCCCTGGCTCTACAGAGGAGTTGCTCGTGTGTTTTCATACTAGGGAAGGTTCTATATCTTGTCCTGGGCCTCCTCTCTTTGTTGTGGCATGATTTGATTCCCAGCTCTTTGTTCTTTCAACTCAAACTTACTTAGTCTTGTCCTCTCGCATCTTAAATTTATTTTTGATAGGTAGACTTAACACCCAGGTCATCCTAATTTTCCTGTATTCTCTATGTTATGTGGTGTCACATACATCAAATGTTGATAAAATACGCATTGATAAAGCATTGAAACTCTAGAATCATTGGGGTTTATATGAGGATTTTTTTCTTATGTTTTAATGGTGGCATACAAAATCTCAGAAAAAAACCTTCCTTTACTTTTTTTTTTGGAGGTAGGGCCTCATTGTGTTCTCTGGGCTCGAATGCAGTGGTGTCAGTTAGCTCATAGTAGTCTCAAACTGCTAGTCTTAAGTGATCCTCTTAGCTCAGCCTACTAAGTAGTTGGGACAATAAGTGTGAACCACTATGCCTGGGTAATTTTTAAAGTTTTGGTAGAGGTGAGGTCTTGCTATGTTGTCTAGTCCAATATTGAACTACTGGACTAGCAAAGTGCTGGGATTATAGGCATGAACTGTCACACATGGCCCTTTTACATTAGCCTATAATTATCAAGTATAGGTCTCTTTCAACAGCTCTGTTAGCTGTGAAAATCAGGAGTGTAAAGATCTTGGTCTATGGGAAAACATGTGGTAGAAGCATAGGTTTAGCCACTTTAGAAAACATTGAGAGTGTTCGTTCTGTTAGGCTGGATATGTACTAAATCAACCAGCAGTTCTTCCCTAGATATGTAGGAGGAAGAATTGGATGTACACATTAGGAAATGTGGTCAGGCATAACCAGAGCAGTAGGAATCTGGAAACATCTCAAGCATTCATCAGCAGGTGGTGGTGAGCCCAGTGGACTGTGTGTGATATAGTGGTGAAAATCACATTATGGCAGTATTATACAACAGCCTAATGTCTCATCAAAGTTCAGGAGCTGTGACATTTGCAACATGTGGATTAGTCACAGCCATAATATTGAGCCAAATTAAGGAAGACTTTTTTTTTTTTTGAGACAGAGCCTCAAGCTTTCCCTCTGGGTAGAGTGCCTGTGGCCTTACAGCTCACAGCAACCTCTAACTCCTGGGCTCAAGCGAGTCTCCTGCCTCCACTTCCCAAGTAGCTGGGACCACAGGGGCCTGCCACAACGCCTGGCTATTTTTTTTTGGGTTGCAGCCATTATTGTTGTTTGGCGGGCCGGGCTGGATTCGAACCCACCACCTTAGGTGTATGTGGCTGGCACCTTAGCCACTTGAGCCATAGGCGCGGAGCCAAGGAAGACTCTTATAGTAGAATTCCATGTTACTAAAATTAAAAAACAATCAAAATGAAACAGTATCTTGTTTGGCACATATATGTGTATGTTTGGCATTTATATATGTGTAATGGAACTTTTTTATAAGTAGAAATACAAAATTCAGGGTTGTGGTTTTAGTGTTAACTCCTTGAGGTAAAATGAGGATGACATAGGAGAGAAGTGTGCAGGTATATGGAAGTTATTGGTCATGTTTTTGTCCCTTAGTGGTGGCTTCATAGGGTCACTATGTAGTTGTGCTGTACAACATGTATGCACGTACACCTGTGTGTATCAGAGTCACAGTTAATCTTACAGACATGACTGATTTCATTAGTAAGCTAAGAGTTCTTACAAATCAAGAGAAGATTAACAGATTTTTTTAAATGAGTATATTATTTTTCTTTGGCTACTATAACAAAGTACCACAGTTGCTTAAAACAAGAGAAATTGGCTTGGTGCCTTTAGCTCAAGTGGCTAAGGTGCCAGCCATATACACCTAAGGTGGCGGGATCGAATCCAGCCTGGGCCCGCCAAGCAACGATGACGGCTGCAACCAAAAAAATAGCCAGGCTTTGTGGCAGGCGCCTGTGGTCCCAGCTACTTGGGAGGCTGAGGCAGGAGACTTGCTTGAGCCCAGGAGTTGGATGTTGCTGTGAGCTGTGCCACAGCACTCTACCCAGGGGGACAGCTTAAGGCTCTGTCTAAAAAAAAACAAAAAAAAAAAAACGAGAAATTTTAAAGGTGCAGAGAGAAAGAATAAAAAAAAAAAAAAAAACCTAGAAATTTATTTCTGATCTCTGTTCTGAGTCCAGAAACCCTAAATCAAGACTTTATGGTACCTCTTGCTGCCAGTGGTCCTTGGTTTCCCTTGGCTTGTGGCAGCATCATTTCATCTTCTGCCTCTTTGTTCACCTGGGTGTTTTCCTGGTATGTGTTCTTGCTTCTTTTAAGGATGCCAGTTTTAGATTTAGGACCCACCCAATCCAGTATGTTCTTATCTTAATTACATTTTCAGTGACCTATTTCCAAGTAAGATCACATTCTGAGGTTCCAAGTGGACATAAGTTTGGGAAGGACACTATTCAATACACCCCAGTGGGCAGAATCTATAAAAAGTCAGTTTATGAGAAAGAGAATATAAACGATTAGTAAACATCAAAAATATTCTCAACTACGTATTACTGAAGAATTACAGGTAACAGATTAAAAAGTATGATAGAATTAGCAAGAGTGTAGGGACAAGCATGCGCTCCCATGATGATGAGAGTAGAGATTAGGGTAGGGGTTTTGGAGGATAGTTGGTCAAAATTTGAAAGCCCAGTTTTAAATATCTGCACCATAGGAATCTACTTCTAGAAATTTGCACAGATTCATGAAGTTCTCCATACAAAGATGTTGATGGCTCTGCCTTCCTGGCCCCCAGCCTCACCTTCTTCATGCGGTACCCTCCCTTGCAGCACCAAAACACTACCCCTTCTCTCCCCACCCCCCAAATCCATTCCTTGATCCCTGGCTCCAATTGTACTTTGTTCCAGCAGCACCCTGAGCTTTTCCCTTGGCCATGGTGGTGACTGTCTGTATCCTAGCTGTCCTTGTTTTGCTGACCCAAGCACTGGCCCCTGGTGCCTAGCCAGATGGACAAAAGGGGGAATAGGGCAGGTTCAGGGAGGAGGTGTAGCATCCAAACAATGTTTACCGTGTTTCTGAACTTACACTCAGCTCTCCAGGCCCATGAGCTCATTTAGCCTTTAGCATCTCTGAGAGTGAGGTCCTGCTACTCTGCATGTATAGATGAGTGGTCATGGCCAAGGAAGTGGTGCTGCTTGCCCAATGTGTTCCCATTGAAAGACATTCTTGGCTTTGTGGGACTTGGGAACTTAAGATCTGAGCAAAGCTGAGTAGGGTAGAAGTCTGTGCCTGATGCTCTGGTGTCCCTGTGGAAATTTCGCTGAGTTAGGCTTGCTGGTCAGGCAAAGGATGGCAGTGGACTCACACCTATGGATGCTGGGGGCCTCTAAGGGCCAGCTCTGGAGCAGAAGAGGCCTGAGTCTTACAGATGTCTCCTCTGGGTTGCAGACCCATAATGCACCTGCACAGTTGGGGCCTGTCCTAGGCCCTCCTCACATGAGAACAGTGTCTGGTGTCTTGAGGATTAACCTCCCTTTAGTGGTCCCTACCACTGTCTTTGGCCCTCACGCCTATCCATTTAGACCAAGGCTCTCCTTTGGCTTCACAAAGTGCTGGAGTTACAGGTGAGGGCCACTATACCTAGCCTCAAACTATTTTTTTTGAGACAGAGCCTCAAGCTGTCACCCTGGGTAGAGTGCTGTGGTGTCACAGCTCACAGCAACCTCCAACTCCTGGGCTTAGGCGATTCTCTTGCCTCAGCCTCCCAAGTAGCTGGGACAACAGGCGCCCGCCACAACACCTGCCTATATTTTGGTTGCAGCCATCATTTTGTTTGGCAGGCCCAGGCTGGATTTGAACCCACCAGCTCAGGTATATGTGGCTGATGCCTTAGGTGCTTGAGACACAGGCGCCCAGCTACAAACTTTTTGAATATAATGACTCATCCAAATGTAATATGAGTGTCATAACTTAGAATATAATGACGGTGAACACAGCCCTTTCTTTGAGTCCATGTGGGGCTCTCAGAGGAGACCTAAGGAAGACAGGCTATGTGTTTCAAAGTTGACACCACTATCTTTTTCTCTAGAAACATGAAGACACCGAGTGTCCCTGCGTGGTTGTATCCTGCCCTCACAAGTGCAGTGTCCAGACTCTGCTGAGAAGTGAGGTAAGGGGTGCGGCCGGGCTCCGTCAGGCGTTTGTGAAGTCTTCCAGACTAGCACACCACTGTTCTCTTAAGAGCTGAAGGCTAATGTTGTCCCAGGTCATGATAGTAGTGTGTATGACAGAGAAACAAAAAAAACAATGAAAAGCCTCATTATTTTTTTTTTTAGAAGTGAGCAGTTAAAAGCTACAAAGTGGTGAATTTAGAGCAAAAGCTATTAAGAATTAAGAAAATGTGACTATTTTATCCACAGTACAAACAAAAGTGACACTTCTAAGGGTTTTTTTTAGAAGTTATTTTTAAAATCTTAAGGAATTGCTGTAAGATTATCTCAAGAAAGCAAATTAACTTACAAAGGTGCTTTAGACCCATTTTAACCACACAACCTGGGCAGGGTAAGAGGGCTCCCACATTGCAGCCACAGAAAGGCAGCTGTGCAACCCCCTGAGAGGCTGTATGTCTTACACTACCCTTGGCACTCTTTCTTTGAAACAGATAGATTTTGCATTAACTTCATCTGATCAGTATATATCCAGATGGAAAAATTCCAAGGATTCTTAACATTCTTGTGTCAATCCTGACCTGGAAACCCTTTAGTTGCTGTTTCTGGAGCCTTGGGCTCCTCTAGCTTCCCAGTTGGTCACTTCTAAGGAGGCTGCTCACCTTATCATTTTTCACCAACCTCAGATTTTACCACTAGATCTTGTGGGGGATGGGGAGGACCTACCTCATATGTTTTTGACTGAGCAAGAGGACCTGTGTAGGCCTAGGACCAGGGACTTGGTACAGGAGAAGCGAAAGAGCCACTCTCACCCAAGGTACATCTTCTCAGGACCTTGATGCTGAGGGGTGAAGGCCAGGGTCTTGCCTGATGACTGTGGCCCGTGGGCCCTCAATGTGCCTGAAAGGGGCTGGGGAAAATGCATGTAAGTTATTTCCACATCCAGACAGTCCTTCTGTTAAAGTTAATGTATAATAAAACTGTGCTATTGAAATAATTTCATCTTTTAAAAATCCCTTAAACCTTTATTTATAGAATAAATATTCTTTGGGAATTCGATAGTAAAGGGTACAAAACTGACAGTAGTATGCTGAAGATAACATATGTCAAATTCAATATATTCCTAATTTCAATTAATTAGAAATGTTAACCTGCTTAATGTCACTGCATTAATAGCACTGAAAAAGTATATTTTAAAATCTTAAGTTAATGATGCTATATGTAGTCTTCACACTGTATTTCCAGGCCAATCACCTGTCATCTGCCCTGTGGGCACTTTCCTCCAAGGATGGCCCAGGCTAGGTTTGGAGGAGCAGCAAGAACATTAGGCTGCTACGCCCTTAACCACTTTAACTGTGCCTTGGCTCAGAGACCATCTATGATAGGTAGCCTTGGCAGCAATAACCTACATCCTTCAGGACATTCCCACTTTGGCCTTCCTCCTTAGCTGTCATAATAGGACAAAATGGAGGTCTGGGATCCATTTTCTCCTCTGTCCTAAACATTGACCTAGAGGAAAGGACCGTCTTTGTCATGGTGTCATAGTTGTAGACCCTACCTGTGCTGGACAGGCAGTCTGTGAGCCACAGGGGTCATATGCATGCTGGCACATAGCAAAGTTGGTTCCAGGCCACTGTGTGCTAGACTGACCCACCTACTCTCCTAACTAGGGTGTGATTATTTTCTCTAAAGATCTATCCGGCTGGGCACAGTAGCTCATGCCTGTAAATCCTGTACTTTGGGAGGCTGAAGTGGGATTGCTTGGGCCCAGGAGTTTGAGTTGTAGTGAGCTATGATAATGACTGCTCTCTAGCCTGGGTGACAGAGAGAGACTCTATCTCAAATGAAAATTAAAAAAATAAATAAATAAATAACTAAAAAGATCTATCCCCAGAGTTTCTGGATGAGAATGTCTTCAATAAAAGAAGAAACTATCCTTCAGTTTTATTAGCCTAATGCATCACAGTATATCTTATTATACAGTCTTTCCAATTCCCTTGCCTCTTGGGGCATTGTTGAATGGTTTTTATTTGATGACTAACCAATGTTTGAGCTAAATGGGGGACTGTTTTCCTTGTAACGGGGATTATTTGCTGCTGGTCCCTCATAGTTTTCCTGCTATCAGTTAGGAGTGACAGTATTAAGATACATCTTATTAGAATGATCTTAGATGTCTTTGGAAAGCTACATGAGTTTCTGGCTATACAGAGGGAAAAGTCTTTTTAGATGAAGGAAAAACTCATTTCCAGTTATCTCTAGTATTATGAGTAATGCTATATTGTGTAAGCTTGCTTTGAAAATATATTTATTTTTGTGTACTGTATATTAGGTGTGTGACCCAGTTGCATTCTGAATGCTTTTTTTTTGTGTTTCATGCAGTTTTTGTTTTTAGTCTTTAAATGTGCATTTCAGTTTACATTTTTTTTTCCTTTTTTTAATTTTGGCACTACAGATGGCATGTCACATTTTGAACAATTTGTTCTAGAGAAACTGCAAGTTTAGGAAATGTTATAGTAAATGTATTTCTGTATATTGGCGTATATATGTGTATCACGTGACTATACCATATATTTACTGCATAGAAATATAGGAAACAGATGATCTATACACACCTGTAGCTGATAAACACCATTTTTAACAGTACAACCCAGATGCTATCTGTACCCTGATATGTTTGAACATTTTCATGCAAACGTTTGTGCCACAACTCACGTCTCTTTCCCGTTGCAGTTGAGTGCACACTTGTCAGAGTGTGTCAATGCCCCCAGCACCTGTAGTTTTAAGCGCTATGGCTGCGTTTTTCAGGTCAGTATCCAACATTTGTCCTTCCCAGTCACTGACATTATGCCATGAGAGAAAGTTTATATTAACATTTTAATATGCAAGTTCTGGACTCTTTTTAGTCTTTGTCATGAAACTAAAGCACCCTGTTGTGTGGGTGACAAAAGCTGTGTGCAGCAGACGTGGGTGCTCGCTTTCCAGTCTGGTGGTGGTCTAAGATGTTAGGTAGACACTATGCTGAGATCGAAATTAATACATTAGGAGAACTATATCCAAAATGAGTTAGTAATGGGACAAATAGGATTGACATTTGGTGGGGTTTCTAGATAGATTGTTAAGGAATTTTATGTTACTTGAATATAAATGAGTATCAAACCGGATATAGTTTCAACAGTGTGTGTAAGTACACAGCCATAAGGATCACACATGTGTGTGTCCGTAAGTGTATTTTGTATACAAGCCTGTGCTGACTCTGGCCCCAGCTGGGGTCAGGCTCAAAATGTAGCACAGCTCTTAGAAACACAACTCCCAAGAAAACAGTGTGGGGAGGAAGTCTCTGTTGCTGCACACATGTAGTGTGAGAAGCCTACATCTGGTTTTTGTTGTTGTTGTTGTTGTTGTTGTTGTTTTTTAACACATCTGAGATTGCTAGTGAATTGGAACTGAACTTTCATTTAACTGTGTACCTTAAAACTGTCAAAAGACAGCATATATTACAATTAAAGTATTTTATATTTAATTTCATGTACCACCAATACATTATTATGAAATCAGTACAGAGATATCGGCATCTTAGTATTTTCTGAGAGAGTAAACAGTGTAAGAGTAAAAGTGACTATAGCTTTTCCTTTGCTTTAGTCTCCAGCAAGACTGAGCCTCCCCCTGTTATGTCGTACGTAGTATCATTCATTCTCTCTGTGTATGTGTATATATATGTTTATATATTACAATACTTATATCAACATATATATATGAATATTCTATGTACAGAGTATATGTTTTGGAGATCATTAAAATGTTTTATTTGACTTCTTAATTTTTCAATAGCGAAACAGATTATGTTTTCTTACTAATTATTTCCTTAAATAAATGGAGTACAATTTCATGTGCTTATTCCTGACTGTAAAATGGTCTACATCTTATGTACTCTGTAGATTGTTTATGTTTTGTATGTAACTTTATAAATATATTTAGAATGGTTAGGAATAATACACTTTTGGATGCAGTGTATTTGAATTAATAAATTGTCACTTAAGTAAATTTTTTAGATTTTCTACTTTGCTTAGATATTTACTAGGCTGTTTAGCAGTATCTAGCTGTAGCTATAGGTGTCTAAACATTTTCTGTTTATACTATATTCTTAATGAAAAAAAAATAAAGGAATGAGAATAAGTTTAAAATTTGATTTCTTGATATTACAAATGTGAAACTATGATTAAGAAAGTTGAGATAAGAAGCTCAATGAGGCCAGGCATGGTGGCTCATGCCTGTAATCCCAGCACTTTGGGAGGCTGAGGTGGGAGGATGACTTGAGGCCAGGAGTTTAGGTTTCAATGAGCTATGATGATACCACTGCATTCTAGCCTGGGCAACAGAACAAGATCCTGTTTCAAAAATGAGAGAGAGAGAGCGAGCGCATAGTGCTCAAGGAATGAAGAGCATGAACTTGAGATTCTCACTGTCACACTGCGGAGTGTTTTCTCTTGGAGCTCTTTGTTCTTCCTCACAGCCTTCACCCAAACAAAGTAGCTAAGCAGCCCCAGGCATGACTCTTCTGAGGTTGACACGTTCTCTGAATTTTAGTGCTGCTTGTATGTTATCCTTTCTTTTGTGTACAGTGGAGTAAGGTTGACTCAATCCCTCACATCTTTGCTCTTTCAGGGCACAAACCAGCAGGTCAAGGCCCATGAGGCCAGCTCTGCAGTACAGCATGTCAACCTGCTGAAGGAGTGGAGCAGCTCCCTGGAAAAGAAGGTAGGCTGCACAGTTTCTGGCTTTTGCTTGGTTTTCATAATTTCTTTAAATTATTTAAAGAGGAAAGTCTTATTTATGGGTTTTAGATAAAAGAAATAGCATCAGGAGATTATAAGAAAAGTAAACTCTTTGTGTGATCTTGAGCTCCTAAATTAAGGTGTTTAGTTTTTATTTGTTCTTTGTTTTTTATTGCTAAACAAGCAGATAGTGCTTTCCTCACCACCACCCCCACCCGCAGCCACTTTGTGCTTGTTTTGGCATTTATCCAGCCAAGAGATTGTCAAACTTCCAGCCTTTCTCCCTGTTTTTTTAATAAAGTTCTTTTGAAGCACAGCCTCATTTATTTTCATATTGTCTGTGGCTGCCTTCACTTCACAGCAGCAGAGTTGAGACAGACCATATGGACTACATAGCTCAAAATATTTACTGTTTAGCTCTTTACAGAGTAAGTTTTGCTAACCCGCATCAGGGCACTTACCAATATTAAATGCTTCACAGTTTATGTCTTTTGTAAGAGACAAATAGGAAGAAACATTTCCATATCACTGGTATTTACTATCAGTTTTCTCTGTTGACGCTTTGTGAAAATTTGGTGCGCTAAAGCACATAGACAGGATGACTTCCCAGACTTACTCTTTTCCCATGCTGTTTTCAAGAGACCTCCATTGCAAGGCTGCAGACCCAGGAATAGGCACCTTCCTTGTTCTCTGATGTGAAATTCAGCTCAGGAGGACCTTTTTTTAATGAGGAGAATATCAGTAATTAATAGAGAAGAAGTTGTTGTGGGATCTTCTGGTTTACTTACAAAAATAAAAACAAGGGTGGCCCCTGTGGCTCAAAGGAGTAGGGCGTCAGCCGCATATGCTGGAGGTGGTGGGTTCAAACCCAGCCCCGGCCAAAAACTGCAAATAAATAAATAAATAAATAAAATAACAAATTAAAAAAATAAATATTCAACAAACATGTATTGAGAGCTTGGAGTTAGGAGGGTAACTAAGATAGGGTGACCAGATTTTAACATTTGTTAAGTGGGACAACATGGCTTGGGGGGCAGGGCAGGGGCGGGGCAGGGCCGGGCCTGACAATGCAAACTTTGGTAAGCAATACTCAATAATCACTTCTCAACAATTATTTGTTATTATTACAGTTTAACATTATAAGATTAACAAAAATAATATAAAACTCATATTCTGGTGAAATAGCCACATGGCAGCCGAAAACCGTATATTCCCTTCCTGTTCTCCCACCCGTTTATGCATTCTTTCCAAAAATCGGGACTTTTTTAAAATACCAGGAGGCAGGACAATTGTTAAAAAGCGGGACGTCTGGTCACCCTAAACTAAGATGAATTAAGAGTGGCCAGGGAGTGGATATTTAAATTTTCTAAAGCTTGGAATATCTTGGTTCAAGTGGTAAATCCAAGCAATTTAAAATGTAAATATACTTGAAAGAATCTAAAATTTTATTTTTATTTTTTTTCAGTGGTAAGATAGGATTTTATTAAACAGAAAGGAATACAGAAACAGTAAAAAGTCACCAGAGCCTCTGGCAAAAGGGAAGACCCAAGTCGAAAAATCTCTCAGGTCCTTTAGAGAATTTAAAATTGTAAACTAAAAGGTTTTCATTAAATCTGACATAAAAAAAATTTTTTTTTTATTATAAATGCTATGGTGGCTCCTAGCACTCTGGGAGGGCAAGGCAGGACGATCCCTTGAGCTCAGGAGTTAGAGACCAGCCTGAGTAAGAGTGAGATCCCATCTTTACTAAAAATTGGGGAAAAAAAAAAAAAACTAGCCAGGTGTTGTGGCAGGCACCTGTCGTCCCAGCTACCCAAAAGGCTGAGGTAGAAAGAGTACTTGAATCCAGGAGTTTGAGGTGAGCTATGCTGACACCACAGCACTCTAGCCCAGACAAGAGAGTGAGACTCTGTCTCAATAAATAAATAAATAAAAATTTAAAAAGCTTGAGCTGAAGTTGGGGAACAATAAGAGATTGGTGTGTTGTATGAACACACACATCACATGCAGAGCAGAGGAGTTCTGTCTAACAGTGAAATCAGACTTGGGTTAGAAGGATTGTTGGTGATTTTCCCATGAGCACATGGCATTTACCCTAAGTCTAATGATGGTTTACCTGTAAATCTTTCCCCTTCTTTTTGAAGAATGTATTCTGTTTCTGCTTCCTTTCTTTTCTTTTCTTTCTGTTTCTTTTTTTTTTTAGGCAGAGTTTCACTCAGTTGCCCTGGGTAAAGTATCATAGCTCACAGCAACTTTAAACTCTTGGTTCAAGTGATCCTCTTGCCTCAGCCTCCCAAGTAGCTGGGACTACAGGCATGTACCATCATGCCAGGTTGACATTTTTCTATTTTCAGTAGAGACAGGGTCTCACCCTTGCTTAGACTAGTCTTGAACTTCCGATCTCAAGCAATCCACCTGCCTTTGTGTCCCAGAGTGTTAAGAATACAGCCATGAGCTACTGTGCCCAGTCTTGTTTCTGCTTGCCTTTTTAAAATTATAGGTGTAAGAGGCTTGGCACAGTGGTTCACACCTGTGATCTTAGCACTCTGGAAGATAGAGGTGAGTGGATTGCCTGAGCTCAGAAGTTTGAGACCAGTTTGAGCAAAGCAAGACCCCATCTCTATAAATAGAAAAAATAGCCAGTCTTTGTGGCAGACGCCTGTAATCCCAGCTACTTGGGAGACTGAGACAAGAGGATTGTTTCAGCTCAAGAGTTGAGTTTAAGGCTCGGTGCCTGTGGCTCAAGCAGCTAAGGTGCCAGCCGTATACACCTGAGTTGGCAGGTTCGAATTCAGCCCGGTCCGCCAAACAACAATGACGGCTGCAACCAAAAAGTAGCCGGGTGTTGTGGCGGGCGCCTATAATCCCAGCTACTTGGGAGGTGGAGGCAGGAGACTCACTTGAGCCCAGGAGTTGGAGGTTGCTGTGAGCTGTGTGTGATGCCATGGCACTCTGCCCAGGGGGACAGCTTGAGGCTCTGTCTCAAAAAAAAAAAAAAAAAGAGTTGAGGTTAAAAAAAAAAGTTGAGGTAGCTATGATGCTACAGCACTCAACTCCAGGACAACTGAGACTCTGTCTCAAAAGAAAAAAAAATTATAGGCATAGAACATAAGGCTTCTTGTATCTCATAGATGCTATGTTTCTTATTTAAAAAGTCCTTCCTTTTATTTTAAGAGTTAATTTTGTTACATTTGTACTAATTATAAGCTTAGTCATTCTGAGGTATGTGGTCATCCAGTGAGACAATTATGGACAGTGCTATCACCAAGTAGGTTTCTGGGCTTAGTTCCTATGGAGAATTCATCTGCTTTCTTCTTGCTTCATTATCTTCTCCCCATTCAAAGTGAGCAGTTCACATCATTGGAAGGCCCAGGACATAGCAAAGTAACCTGCCTACAAGCAAGTTCTTACTCTGTGAATACCTCCTGTTTAAACTATCAGCCAAGTCGTGGTGGGATGAGATAATTTAAACTGTCTCAGCCAAGTCCTGAGAGTGTGGGATGCTTTGCAGTGCCTTGTCCTAGAGATATGTGAGAGCTCACTCAAGGAATAGTCTCAGCCTGTCTGAGTGGAACCCCTGCCCCTGGCTCTTGGTCAGCTGAACCTCATCTTGTGTTCCTGAGAAGGTGCATGGCTTTCTTCCACTAGGTCCAAAAGTAAAGTCTAGATGAAGAATGGAAATATTTAAATTATCTTAAAATGTGAATTTATATCTTATTATGGAGTTACTCAGTTGGAATCTCTTTGTTATTTTATCTGTCATAGAAAATAGAATGTTTGAGTTGGTTCAAAAAGACTATTCTCACCTTTGTGGTCAAACTAAAGAACAACTGTTTAGTAAAATATGGACTTAAAAAACGACTTTTATATTTTAGGAAAGTTTAAATTGAAGGGAAATGAAAGTATGTCCTGGGTACAGGGGTCTCAGAGGCTGAAGGATCCCTGTTTTCCTCTATCGTGTGGATATTATGCTATGCTTTGTGGCAGCACACCTCCCAAGTGGGTGTTCCTGTGCAGATGATGCCTGCCTAAGAGAGGAGTGAGTGGCAATCCACAGGTGTCCAAGAACTAGGTCCGTTTATTAAAATAAAAACACAAGGCTGAGCACAGTGGCTCATACCTATAATCCCAGCACTCTAGGAGGCTGAGGCAGGTGGATTGCTTGAGCTTAGGAGTTCAAGACCACCCTGAGCAAGAGCAAGACCCTGTTTCTACTAAAAATAGAAAAATTAGCTGGGCATTGTGACAAGCGCCCATAATCCCAGCTACATGGAAGGCTAAAACAAGAGGATCTCTTGAGCCCATGAGATTGAGGTTGTTGCGAGCTATGTTAACACCACGGTACTCTACCCAGGGTAATGGAATGAGACTCTGCTTCAAAATAAATAAATAAATAGAAACAAATACAAATAATAAGTTTAAATAAGCGAAGTCCCTAAATGAAGGAAATAGAGTTTTGGTTTGTTTGAGACAGAGTCCTAACTATGTGGCTCTCAGAGTGCCATGTGTCACAACTCACAGCAACCTCAAACTGTGCTCATGGCACTCTACCAAGGGTAATATAGTGAGACTCTCTCTGTCTCAAAAAATAAATAAATAAATAGTGCTTATTTCCAAAGGTGCTTCTTGCCTTAGCACATTGTATCAAGTATGGAAAGGTCACTTATTTCTGAACTGGTTCTTCTTCAATTGCATCAGGAAGCCATTCTTTTTTTTTTTTTTGGTCACCCTCGGTAGAGTACCGTGACGTCATAGCTCATAGCAACCTCAAACTCTTTGGCTTAAGTGATTCTCTTGTCTTAGCCTCCTAAGTAGTAGGAATCCATATTTTTTTTTTTTTTTTTTTTTTTAGTTTTTTGGCCAGGGCTGGGTTTGAATGTGCCAACTTCCTGCATATGGGGCTGGTGCCCTACTCCTTTGAGCCACAGGCACCACCCTAGGAATCCATTCTTTATCGAACCTACTTTCATCCTGAAATACCCTTGGGCTATCACCTTTATGACTCTTGGCTGAGGCTAGTTCCCAGACCTTGGTGCTTTTGGAAGGCTTATCATTGGAGAGGCATACATCAGCTCCATCAGAGGTTGGAGATCTTCTGGGGTGGCAGCAGCACCCCAATGGACAGATAGACTCATCTGTTGATAGATGGGAACATTTTTCCAGGATCAAAATACTCTTTGTAGAAATCCTATGAGGAAGGAAGCCTTGTATGAATTACCCTCAAATTCATCTTTGGGCCTTTTTTTTTTTTTTTTGAGACAGAGTCTCAAGCTGTCCCCCTGGGTAGAGTGCTGTAGCCTCAAAGCTCACAGCAACCTCCAACTCCTGGGCTCAAGCAAGTCTCCTGCCTCAGCCTCCCAAGTAGCTGGGACCACAGGCACCCACCACAACACCTGACTATTTTTTGGTTGCAGCCATCATTGTTGTTTGGCAGATCATGAAATATTTATTTTGCTGTTTCTGGCTCATTTCTCTTAGCATAACACCCTCCAGGCAGTTAGCATTTTTCAAAAATGGAATAGGATAAAATAGAAAATATCAGGATGCATTATAAATATAAATCATTTATAAATGCATTATAAATGATTAGGGCAAGTATGGTTTTGTGAAACCTGTTTTTCAGAGATACGCATGCACAAATGTTTGTATAAATGAGGTGAAGTGTAATGTGTTTCTTACTATGTTTCCTGGTCAAAATTTGAAAGCTATTCTGGTAAAATATTTATTAGTTTTTGGCAAAACTTTAATAATTAGCATCTCATTTATTCTGAAATTCAATCAGCCTCTGCACTTTGCCTCAGCCTGTTACTGGGAGAAATCTTGAGAAACATTGTTTATAGGATTCTTTACTAAATTACCAGGACTTCTGGGCTGGGCGCGGTGGCTTATGGATATGATCCTAGCACTTTGGGAGGCAAGGGAGAGAGGATTGCTGGAGGTCAGGAATTCAAGACCAGTCAGAGCAAGAGCGAGACCCTGTCTCTACAAAAAATTAGCCAGGAGTAGGGGCACATGCCTTTGGTCCCAGCTACTCAGGAGGCTAAGGCAGGAAGATTCTTTGAGCCCAGGTGTTTGAGGTTACAGTCAGCTATGATGATGCCCCAATACTCCAGCCTGGGCAACAGAGCAATAAGCTACCTCAAGAAAAATAAAACGAAACAAAAAAAGGCTCACACCTGTGGCTAGGGTGCCAGTCACATGCACTGGAGCTTCCAGGTTCGAACCTAGCCTGGGCCTGCCAAACAATGACAACTACAACCAAAAAATAGCCGTGCGTTGTGGTAGGCGCCTGTTGTCCCAGCTACTTGGGAGGCTGAGGCAAGAGAATCACTTAAGCCCAAGAGTTGGAGGTTGCTATGAGCTGTGACGCCATAGCACTCTACTGAGGGCAACGTAATAAGACTGTCTCAAAAAAAAAAAATTTATCAAGACTTCCATTTTCTCTGTGAAGGGAATTTTTTCTTCTGGAACTCCTTTCAGTAAGCTAATAGAAGCCCTGTAGTGTGAAAATTTAATTACTGTCGTTGTTAAATTTATTATTACATGAGTTTAAAAAATTTCTTTTTCAGGTTTCCTTGCTACAGAATGAAAGTGTAGAAAAAAACAAGAGCATACAAAGTTTGCACAATCAGATCTGTAGCTTTGAAATTGAAATTGAGAGACAAAAGGAAATGCTTCGAAATAATGAATCCAAAATACTTCATTTACAGGTAAGAAGCTTAAGACTGTAGCTGGAGGCTCGGCGCCTGTAGCTCAACCGGCTGGGGCGCCAGCCACGTACACCTAGGGTGGCGGGTTCGAATCCCCAGCCCGGACCTGCCAAACAACAATGACGGCTGCAACCAAAGGATGGCCGGGCATTGTGGCGGGCGCCTGTGGTCCCAGCTGCTTGGGAGGCAGAGGCAGGAGGCTCGCTTGAGCCCAGGAGTTGGAGGTTGCTGTGAGCTGTAATGCCATAGCACTCTGCCCAGGGGGACAGCTTGGGGCTCTGTCTCAAAAAAAAAAAAAAAAAAAGACTGTAGCTGGATAAAACTAGCCTGAAGTGGTGGCACATGCCTCTGTGTTTGCCTTTAGGGCTTTGTCTCAGTGAGCTGTTTGAGCTGAAGCCCTCAAGCAGAACAGCAACTTGTTTTCCTTGCTTAAATGAAGACTCAGGAAAGGTGGTAGGGGAGCTCAGAGCCCAGCCTAGGAAGCCGTAGGTTGGCTGTTTTCTCACTGCCTTTTCTCTGGAGAGCAAGCCCCATTGCCTCTCTTCTGTGCCTTTGATCCTCTGTAGGAAAAAATAAGACCTAAAGCCTGCAGTTTAAAAATTAGCAGGTTTTGGCCAGGTGTGGTGGCTCATGCCTGTAGTCCTAGCATTCTGGGAGGCTGAGGTAGGTGGATTTCTTGACCTTAGGAGTTCAAGACCACCCTGAGCAAGAGCAAGATCCCATTTCTACTAAAAACAAAAAAAAATTAGCCAGGCACTATGGCGGGTGCCTGTAGTCCCAGCTACTTAGGAGGCTAAGGTAAGAGGATTGCTTAAGCCGAAGAGTTTGTGGTTGCCATGAGCTATGATGCCATGGCACTGTAGCCTGGGGCAACAGAATGAGACTCTGTCCCCTCTCCCCCCCCAAATCATCAGGTTTTATTATTATTTAAGATTTTGTATTATTTGTGGGTAGTTGTTATTCACAAAGTTTCACTTCCTGAAGTGAAGTGAAGCTAAACTACTTTGTTCTGAGTTTTCTAGTGACACACATGTTCACTCTGCTTATTTTACCATAGTGATCCACATATACCTCCAAAATAACAAATTAATAAACTTTTGCTACTCTTTATAAAGGTGATTATATAAATGGGCCTGATGAAAATGTTGCTGTTCATTTCTTTTATGAACATAGGTCTCTATTAGGTGCTTGCTACTAGATTATTATTACAGATACTATTTGCACATTACTTACACATCTGTTACAGTAATTCCCATGTGTATCACACACACCTGTAGAAGAGTTAGTGGTATCACTAAAGTGATTTTTCAGGACTTGTACTTATGTGTTTCCCTAAATTATCTATAGGACAAAATATCTCCAATAGGGTAGAGTCATGGCATCTTGGAGAATGCTTTTTCTCCCATTTTAGCCCTTGGAGATTAGTGACAGTGTCTTGAATTGCATGGAGATTTATTAAATTAATTTCATTTGTATTAAACTTTGTAGTTTCCCAGAGAAAAAAAGGAAAAAACACATTTGAGGGTTATGGGAAAGGTATACTTCATTTAGTATTGAATTAAGACAGAAAAGTACAGTTTCTCATAAAATACCCATAAGCCAGGGTGGCACCTGTGGCTCAGTGAGTAGGGCGCCAGCCCCATATACCAAGGGTGGTGGGTTTGAATCCTACCCCAGCCAAACTGCAACGGGAAAAAAAAAATAGCTGGGTGTTGTGTCATGCGCCTATAGTCCTAGCTACTCAGGAGGCTCAGATAAGAGAATCACCTAAACCCAAGAGCTAGAGGTTGCTGTGAGCTGTGACATTACAGCACTCTACTGAAAGCAACAAAATGAGACTCTGTCTCTAAAAACAAAAACACCCATAAGCCTCCTGCTTGAAGCCCCTGGAATTTTGCTGAGGGCAAAGATCGTCTTTGGTGACCTGTGTACCCTGTGGCCCACCCTCTCCTGCAATACTAGTGAAATGTTTTAGCTACTTAAAATTGTACCTACTAAATTTGTTCTGAGGCTCAGAGAGGCAGCGGGAAAGGCAAAAGAAATTAATGTTGTGTGGGACAGTCACCTATAAAAATACCCACAGCAGAAGAAAGGATATTTTGAATAAACAGTGGGTTCATTAGAATATACACAGTGATATATAAATACAATGTTTAAAAACCCAGAGATTTCATGTGCCTACATCTCTTTCTTCATTTCTTCCTAATCCAATCAGAAAAGTTTTCATTTACTTTACTTTTTAGTTGAGTTTAAACTTACTACTGTGTACGTTATATTTTAAAACCTTAGTGATTGAATAAACCAATCAGGTGTTAGAAAGGGGGAAACTGAGTCACAGAAGCCTGAGAAGTGTGACAGCTGAGTTAGGGTGGCAGTTGTCCATTTCCCTGCGGTAAGTAGGAGGGTGATGACTGGCCAGTTCCCTCCTTCACAGAAAGGAAAGCATGCATGAGAACAGATTATATTTGAAGAAGGGACCTTAGAGCAGGCTGGACACTTACGATTTCCTTGAGTGCAGGATCAGGGGCTGCCTGAAAAGTGCTGTGGGTCTCATGGTGTGTGCCCATTTGATAGGAGTGGGCACCCAACTGTGAGGTTTGATGAAAGGTGGAATGTATCTTAACTTCAGTGGCAGTATGGGGTTGGCAGTCTGATTGGTGAGGCGAGATGGAGGAAACACTGCTAGAAACCTCTAGGTCTGCAGAGGCACTGGCTTCAGGTGAGTTGTGCTCTGCTCCTCCAGATCCTCTTCCACACTGTTAGGTGGAGCCCACTCACATGACCTCCTCATTCTGCCTCTCACCTTAGAACCCTTTTGTAGGAAGGGTTTACTTTAAACTCTTCACTCTGGCCCAGAAAAAACCTTGTGACTGGCCACCGGTTCCTTTCTTTTTTTTTCTTGAGAGCTGTTAGACTCCCACATGGATGTCTTGAGCTCTCCTCCCCATACCTCCTTTTCCTGGCCAACTCCGGCTCTTCTTCAAACACCTTAAGTGTCAGTGTAAACCCCACCTCTTCCAGAAAGCCTTCCCTTAACCACCCTACCCTCAGTCCTTCCCTAGCCCTTCATGTGGACCACCTTGGTAAAAACAGTATATGCCACTCAGGGCCACCTCCTTCCTTATTTGATTATCCAGTAGACCCTAAAATTCCAGTGATGGTAGGAATATAGAGTGATGATGGCTGGGCTGTGGCTGATGGGGACACAGGTGAAGGGGGGATTAGGAGAGTGACATTTAAAAGTATATCTGCTTTTGCTGTCACAATAAGAGTTGTCTTAATATTTTCCTTCCCAGAGATTCTATATACATACATATATATATACATACACACACACACACACACACACACATATATATATATATATATATATATTTCAGTTAAAAAGACAGCCTAGGTGTGAGCTTCGCTCTGTGAGCCCCTATTCTGGGCTCCTATTGCCAGAACTAGATAGGAAGGTATTTCTTGCATCAGGGGTCTGCCTAAGCAGAGCGTGTGGGGCTGGAAAGATAGCAAGTAGGGCTCCATTCATGCAGCCCTCATTCAGGCTGCACAGCTCTACCAGGCTATCTCACTGGACAGAGTTTATGTGCCAAGGTCCCTGTGGCCTGAGGGTAAGAAGTAACACCAGTGACATGATGAAGCCCTAAGGTGTAAGTGTAAGAAGCTGCTGGGATGATGCTCTCTGAAAACAAATCTTTTGATCAGGGTTTGTTTATAAAGATTGCAAAAACTATACCATTCATCTCAGAGTTCTTTTTTTTTCTAATAAAATTCCACACCTGCATTTAAGATTTTTATAGACACTGCAATGGCTGAGGGTATGCTCTTTAAGAATGAAATTTTGGGGGGAAAAATGAAATTTTGTTTGCTGCACTTTATAGAGAAAGCTTGATTTGGATCTTCATTCTGCTTTTAAACTGGGCCATTTATACAAATGAAAGGCCTATTTTAAAAATAGTGTGTTTTCCCTTGCTATATGGGAACTCCTGTATTTGGTTGAGCCTCTGTTGTGTACTCTGTGTGTGTGTCCTTGCTGGGCTGAGGCAGCTGCCTGCCAGTGCAGATGCCCTTTTCTGAGGCTTCGTAGCTCAGGGCTGGCTATAGCAGTGATAAGAAGTTTTTCCACAGCTGTCCTGTGACTCCTGGTTCACTCTTGGGTTTCTCAAACCTTTGTTGAGTAAGTTTTCATTAACTTGCCTCTCGTACTCATTGGTATCCACATTAGTTTATAATGCTAGTAGGTAGCTGATAGGAAAGGATTCAGATGTTTATTAAAAATACATTGTGGGGTAGCACCTGTGGCTTAAGGACTGTAGGGCACCAGCCCCATATACCGGAGGTGGTGGGTTCAAACACGGCCCAGCCAAAAAAAATTAAAAAAATACATTGTGGTTTTAGATGTTCATTAATGTCAGTATCATCTCCTAAAAACAAACTTTGTGAACTAATCAAATATTCCTTTGTCCAGCATGTACTTGTTTAAAGTAATCAGTGAAAAAGAGATGTTATTTAAAGAAATAATCCTTACTTTTTTTTTTGGCCAGGGCCGGGTTTGAACCCACCACCTCCAGTATATGGGGCCAGTGCCCTACTCCTTTGAGCCACAGGCGCTGCCCCTAATCCTTACTTTTTAAATGTTGGCTAACATCAGATTTCTTAGAAAGAACAGGAAGAGTAACATTGTGCTTTTACTCCCCTAAAAGTAGCCCAAACCTGCCATGTTTATTTTTTTATGGTTAGTAACAGTTAAGCAAAGGTGCTGAAACCTAAAGGTTTAAAAATAGACCCAAAAAGAGAAGTGAATTCAGTGGGCCCCTGGGGCTCTACCCTTGAGTACCTGGTGAGGCCTTAGCTTCAGAGGGACTCAACCATTCTCTGGCTGTACTGAACAGTAAGCTCTCTAGCCTTCACAAGCTTTATTTCAAAATACATATTCTTTTTAGAAGTGAAAACCATCTGGGCATGGTGGCTCATGCCTGTAATCTCAGCGGTTTGGAAAGGTGAGATGGGAAGATGTGGTGGGGCCAGGAATTCAAGACCAGCCTGGTAATCCTAGCATTCTGGGAGGCTGAGGAAGGTGAATTGCCTGAGCTCAGGAGTTCGAGACTAGCCTGAGCCTGAGTGAGACTCCATCTCTAAAAATAGCCAGGCATTGTGGCAGATGCCTATAGTCCTAGCTACTAGGGAGGCTGAGGCAAGAGAATCTCTTGAGCCCAAGAGTTTGAGGCTGCTATGAGCAAGGGCAACAAAGTGAGAGTCTGTCTTAAAAAAAAAAAGACCATTTTGGGCAACATAGTGAGACCTGTCTCTATAAAATATAGAAAAATTAGCCCAGCGTGGTGACACATTCTCATTAGCCCAGCTATTTGGGAGGCTGAGGTAAGAGGATTACTTGAGCCTAGGAGTTCAAGGCTGTAGTAAGCTGTGATGGACCCTGTGAATAGCCACTGCACTCTCGCCTGACTGGGCCACCATGGCTAGAACATGATTCTCATCCCTCCATAAATATAAATGGTACGTTTCTGGAAAAAGACTTTCTAAATGACTTAAATTAAGATAGAACAGAGTCAGGCCTGCTGTTGGCAGCCACACGTACATCTGACAGCAGTGCTTCTGCTTCCCTCACTGGGGAAAAGGGGTTACAGAGCTGGCAGCCCTAGCATGGAGCAGATAGAGGAGGAACTCCATTCCTATGGGCATCTGGTCCCTTGGTTTCACCCAGGGCCTGTAGAACCCATCTTGAGGCCCTTTCCTTGTGCAAAGCTGGTCGGTCAGGTCAGGTCTCTGGGTTGCTGGGAGCTCTTCTCCCAGGACCCTAGTACAGTCCTAGAACACCCTTTGCAGCCACAGAGATAGGGCTGCACTTCCACCGTGGCCCAGGCAGTGGGTTAAGAGGCCCTCAGATGTTCAAAGGGACAGTAGGCCACAAGGGTGTAACTCCAGCATCCTAAACCTGGGACCCTTTGGGTCCTGCACTGAGGGAGTGAGCCCTCTCTACCTTCCCTTCTGCTGGGAAGCAGGGACCCTCAGTACCTGTAGCCTCTGAGGTACAAGAGGGCATTGGACAAGATGTGACGGAGCCTGGTGAGCATACAGAGGCACTGCTGGCCTGGGTGGAGAGACATGGGAGTGGGAGGTGAGGTCAGATCCAGATGTCTAACAGGAGAGCCATGGGATTTATTGGCACCCAATGCATGTGCAGGAAGGAAGTGACCACTGGGCTACTTCTAGGTAAATACCAGGCAGGAGCTATTGCCTGCCCTGAGCCCACATCTCAGGTATTGGATCTGGTCATCTAAGTGCTTGACACCCATCATTTCTCTTTCCTGATGGTTCTCTATTGGTAAAGCAAACCAGACATAGTGGGAAATTATTCTGTTGTTTTCTGTAAGAATGCATCATCCTCCATCTGGCTTCAGGTCACCTTGTGTGCTTCCTGCAGAGCATAAGCTTGTCCCCAGGGAGCTCCCGGGAGCAGTGCCGACTCAGGTTGCTTCACTTGGCATTGAAGCTGCTGGTGGGCAGTGTCTCTGAGGGACCCCTGTGGCTGTTGTGTTCCTGGCCAGTCTGAATTTGATGGGAAAGTGGCTCAGCATTTTCAGATTCCTAACTAGTTGTTACTCTTTTAACACCTTTGGTTTGGAAGCGAGTAATAGATAGCCAAGCAGAGAAACTCAAAGAGCTCGACAAAGAGATCCGTCCCTTCCGGCAGAACTGGGAGGAAGCAGACAGCATGAAAAGCAGTGTGGAATCCCTTCAGAACCGTGTGACGGAGCTGGAAAGCGTGGACAAGAGTGCTGGGCAGGTGGCTCGGAACACAGGTGAGATGGGGGCAGGAGTGGAGATGGGCATCCTGGGCAAGTGCCTTGACATGAATCCACTGGGCAAACACTGCCTTAGAACAGCTCGTTCCAGTTGCAGGTAACATGTGCTGTGGTATGATGACTTACCTTCAGCAATTCCCTAGCCCTCAGTTAAGCTTGTTCCCTGTGTGGGAGGCCCAGCAGTAGAGTGTAGGGCAGGTGTAGCCGCAGGAGGCTGCAGAGCCCTCTCTGAGAGAGATCAGGGCTGCCGAGTGGAGACAGGCACAGAGGGAGGCCAGAGCCCCCTGATCATGCACTCCAGGCCACACACTTAAGGGCCCCAGGAATAGGAGCTGGCAGGGATTAGGGGTTGGTGCACAGCCTGAGCTCATTCAGCCAGCATATCTAGAAGCAGATGTATGCCTGTAGCTCTGGGGACTAAAAGAATATTGTGAACATTTGCATGGAAAGGATTAATGGTGGAAGGGAACGAGGATTATTGCAGTGTATTGGGATTGGATTAGCCAGCAGAAGACACAGATTGGAGTGGATGGGAGCAGCTTAGGCTCAGAGAACCCAGATAACTCCCTGGCATGGAGGTTGGAGAGCAGGGAACATGAGCAAGAGGGCAGCCCTTGCCTTTGCCGCTAGGGGCTCCCACCCAAGGTGGGCTTCACTCTCTCATCAACCCTGCAGTGAGATACCCTGTAACACATAGTCCCAGGGCCACACCCCAGGGCATCCCATCTTAGCAGGCTGTGGCCTGACAATTCCTCCAGCCAGATGGTGTTGAGGACATGGGTATTGGGTAGACTTGGAGCCGGAACCTGGGCCCTCCTATGGAAGGAGGGATGTTTCAAGGCATCTGTGTGGTGGTCTGCTACTCTCACCCCAAGTAGCCACAATGATTTTATATTATTTAATTCAAATACTGGTGTGAGCTAGGTGCAGTGGCTCATGCCTATAGTCCCAGCTGCTCAGGAGGCTGAGGCAGGAAGATCTCTTGAGCCCAGAAGTTTGAGGCCAGCCTGCACAACATGTTGAGACCCTGGCTCTAAAACATAAAAAAAAAAAAAAAAAATTGGTGTGGATTTGCTTTTCTAACCTTTCTGACATTCACATGTCTCATTGGCCAAATTTTTCCTCGCCTGTGGTAGGCTTGCTGGAGTCCCAGCTTAGTCGGCATGACCAGATGCTGAGTGTCCACGACATCCGCCTGGCTGACATGGACCTGCGGTTCCAGGTCCTTGAGACTGCCAGCTACAATGGCGTGCTGATTTGGAAGATCCGAGATTACAAGCGGCGGAAGCAGGAGGCCGTCATGGGGAAGACCCTGTCCCTTTACAGCCAGCCATTCTACACAGGCTACTTTGGCTATAAGATGTGTGCCAGGGTCTACCTGAATGGGGATGGGATGGGGAAAGGGACACACTTGTCGCTGTTTTTTGTCATTATGCGTGGAGAGTATGATGCTTTGCTTCCTTGGCCATTTAAGCAGAAAGTGACGCTCATGTTGATGGATCAGGGGTCCTCTCGGCGTCATTTGGGAGATGCATTCAAGCCTGACCCCAATAGCAGCAGCTTCAAGAAGCCTACTGGAGAGATGAATATTGCCTCCGGCTGCCCAGTCTTTGTGGCCCAAACTGTTCTAGAAAATGGGACATATATTAAAGATGATACAATTTTTATTAAAGTCATAGTGGATACTTCGGATCTGCCAGATCCCTGACAAGTAACTGGGGAGGTGAATTTAGCAGAAGGTAACTCCTTTGGGGGGTTTGAACCAGTCTGTCTTCACTGAGGTCCTCAAGCTCTGAAAAGGACCTTGTGGAACGGAGAAGCAGCAGAAAGTGGACGCACGGCCGGCGGGAGGAGCCACACGAGAACACACACCTGACATGTTTTGTATAGACTAGTAACACTTCACTCTGAAGAATTATTTATCCTTCAACAAGATAAATACTGCTGTCAGAGAAGGTTTTCATTTTCATTTTTAAAGATCTAGTTAATTAAGGTGGAAAACATATATGCTAAACAAAAGAAATATGATTTTTCTTCCTGAAACTTGAACACCAAAAAAAGAAAACACACGTGGGGATAGCTGGACATGTCAGCATGTTAAGTAAAGGAGAATTTATGAAATAATAATGCAATTCTGATATATTCATTCTAAAATTCAAGAGTGCAATCTTGTTTCAAATATAGTATATTGTCTATTTTTAAGGCCTCATCTGGTCTCTGTTTTAACAATTTGTTTGTCAGAAGACCCTGAAGTAACCTAGGTCTTTTTTTTAAAGTCTCTAAATTTAGAATCATTTTTTAATTTGAAGTTCTACAAATAATTGTTACTGCAAACATTTTATTTTAAAACGTTGATAGACTGATATTTCTTGGAAGAAAATGTAAAATATCAAACACTGGTTATCACTTGTGATAGGAAAGAGAATATTCAATCTGTTGTTATTTCTCGTTAGAAATGTAAACCTTCAATATCTGTCGTAGTTAATGACACTACTTCAAAATTATTATGAAAGGAACATTGCTCATGGATGCTGTGCATCATTTTCAGATTTATAATTGTTTTCACCCTAAAATAGGGCATTAGTTGAACTTTGGAGTTCTGAACAAAATCCTGTAGGTTTTTAAAATTCTGCCCCATGTGTTCAGACTAGCCCTCTGTGGCTGACAACACCGGCCTTGGTCTCTGTGTCCAGGGGTGGCAAGAGTCTGCGCTAAGGGCCCGGCAGGTGTGTCTGTTCATTCTGTCATCTCGCTGCATTTTGTTAATGATCTCTGAAAACAACATCTTTGCATAGAGATGGTGGCATACGGTACATGTGCCTTAGATGTGACATGCTGCTTCTCGACCCTGGGTTTTCGTTTAGCATAATTCTAGAAAGTGCTAGTTTAACCAGACTTTTCTCTCTACCACTAGATCTTTATCTCTTCAAGGCCCTCAGATAACACTGTACCTGCTGAGGGAGGCAAGGCTCCATTGTTGCCTTTAGCACCTCCCCTACTTAATTACCACAAATTCCAAATGTCTAGGCCCCAAAAATGAGCTGCCTGGTCCAAGCATGGCTTGGTCCTACCCTGAGGGAGGCAAGTATGGGGCAGAACCCAAGCCTCTCCTCCGTGCCCCCACCAGGCCATTGGAGCCTACACATCTCAAAGCAGAACCTTCCGAGCATTCTAGAAACAGCTGCTCTGGGGGTTTGCCCAGGCTGACTGATGGGCATTCCTGAACCACCCCCCCAGCAGGAAAGGTGGCCACAGGGCTTATTGTCCCAGCCTGTGCCTGCCCAGATGGCATTCTCTCAACTCACTGTTTACTGTCTCTCAAAGGTCCAACTGTGATGAGAAGCCTAGAGCCCTGCCCTGTACCCCTTTTGCTATGCACCACACTTCATGGTGCTCTTACCACTGATGGGTGCTACACGTGACAGGTGCTTCTTAGGCAAACCAATGTGTGCGAACCACACCTGTGCCACTCGTCCAACAGCCGCACCCACAATTGATCAGCTGGGCTGCGCACTTAAGACTGCCTGCCTCTGGGCCCTCCCCTTGGTTGCACGCGGGGACAGCTTGGCTGGTGCCTGGTGGCCCACCTGTCTCTGGTGCTGCCGTCTGTCCTGGGTGCCTTCGCCCCAGTGCCTGCTGGAAGTGCCCTCCTGTTGCACACCCATCCCTGTGCTTCCACAAGGGACCTCATTAGTTCTACACGCCTGCCATGCCCTTTCATGGTTAAAATGCTCATCCCTTTCTTTTCTCCACTCTCCTGAGATTGCTTTGGGGGAAAATTAGTGTCATTGGTCTTGCCCCCATAAAGGAATCATGTGTCCCTGCTCATAAAGGAAGGACTTCCTGCAGGAGCTCCAAAAACACACTTCTCTCACAGTGTCCCCAGCCTTCTCAAGGCCTGTCCCCTGAGCTCTACCCTGGAGACCTGAAGAAGGGAGGACCTCCTGACAGTTCCTCCCTGGCCTCAGGTGGCTTTCCTGAGGCCAGGGATTAATAACAGGGACTTCCTTCCCATTGCTGAAAGTGTGTACAATATTCAACAAATTAATTTCCCCATCTGGATTTAAATCCTGGCCTGGGTGTGGGCCATTAGTGCTCATCTAAATGAGCACTCTTGGGAGTACCCATCATAAGTGGGACATTCCCAGTATCCCTTCCTAGACAGATGCTTCTGATGAGATACAGTAGAGCCCTCTTGGCCTCCCACCTAGGGGGCTTGTAGGATGTAACCTGAGTAACTGGCTCTGTCCTCTGGGGTGAGGCGTGGCCTGTGTCCTAAGCTTCATCTCCATATGATTTGATTATATTGGGGGCACGTACCTTCTGGTACTCAGGACTTGTTGGAAGGTGGTCTCAGACAGTGTTTCACACTGTCCTGACTGGACGTGCCTGAGTCACTCCATCCTGGGACTCCTTGCCTGGTGCTTGCCGCCTGGGCTGGCCTGGGTTTGTGGTCTCCTCGTGGCTGAGGCCCAGCTGCCTGGCAGGCCAGTGGTCGGTCCTCCCGACTTCACAGGGTCCCAGCAACAAGAGTGGAGGGTGGGCACATGCTTTGAATTTGCTTCCCACTTACCAAAAGTGACAAAATTTCCAAGCAGGACAGAAGTGTTAAATACTTCAAAGAAATCAACACTGAATTCTTTGTACATGAATTAAGCCAGTCTGCTACGCTGTCACCTTCTTAACAGAAATGAAAACAATCTCCTGTTTATATTTGCCTCAAGCAGTTTCTCTTGAACCCTGTGGCTCTGGCTGCTCCTTGCTGTTGGGACACTGGTGTGGAGTTGGCCACTGATGGCTGCAGTGGTCTAGACCACGCATACATGATGGACACAGCTCTTCCCATGGCCACACAAAGCCACACACAGGTTGTAGCAGACCCATGGTGGGGCTCAGAAGCCTGACCCTCTAGTTTTAGGGCTTGTGCTAGGAGAGCCAGAGCAGCTGGAAGTGGGTGTGTCTGTGGTGCTGTGGGGGCCAGGCTGTGGTCAGCTGCGGGGGGCGGGGGGGTCACTTTCCATCAAGGTTGAGGGGCTGAGGGGTAGAAGTAAGGCCTTGTGGGGCCTTGGCTAGCCCTCTTGGCTCTGGCTTCTGAGGGGGCTGGAGTCAGCCTCCGTGGACTTTTATTTATAAGCTCAGCTTCCAGGCTCCCCAGGTTCATGGGTAGCATAGAGGAAGCAAGGAAGGAATATGTGTGAATTATTTTAAGGCTTGCCATGCAAGATGGTTGTGCATTTTCCCAGAGAGAAAATCTCAACTGGAGCCCTGGGTTAAGACTGTGACATAGTGGTGTGTGTTCATGTGTAGATGGGCAGAGAAGGGTCCTCATGTGGCCTATGTCTTGGCCCTAATCCATGACCCCTTCCTAGAGCAGCCTCTATCAAGGGATGGCACTGCGTCTCTTTGATGCCAAAACAACTGGTTGAACTAGGAAGCTCTGCTCCAATAGCTTCTCCCCACCCCACTTTCTCTCTCCCTCTCCATGTCATCTTTGGCTTGTGACACCAGAGAACCACAGTTTGAAGTGCAGCGGCTCCTTTTCCTGGGAAAGCCACCTCCACCAGGGCCCTGTAGACCCACTACCCACCAGAATCCCCACTGAATTGGCTATTTGGCAGAAAGCTTCCCCATGACCACAGGTGGCCCACCTCAGCCAGAACAGGGGTGGCAGGCACAGTCCCATAGGGATGGTCAGCTGCCTCCCCGGACCACCTTGGTCTGCTCCAGGGTCCTCAGTTGTCCAGGCCAGGGGCCATATGTCCTAGTGGACACCTCCTGTCCCAATGTCATCAGTAACAGTGTCCCCTTCACTCAACAGTGTCTGGAGTTGGTCACCCATAGTGGGCCTGGCATATGTAGCCCATAGATAACATCTGGCAAAGGGAAAGGTGTCTGGATGGATCTTTAAGCAGCAGCAGGGTGCTAAGGGGGTCTCAGGGGCATCCAGGGAAGGCACTAACTCCTCTTTCTGTACATGGAGGGGTGGTGCAGGGACTTGACATGCCCTTGACAGATGCTCCAGCCTGGCAGGGGGCAGAGTACAGACTGCCTATGGGGGCCTCTTGGCACTTTCCTCAGCCCTCCCAGATGCATCCCTCTGCTTGGGGTAATTAGTGCATTGAGAAGGGCTCAGGCAAAGGGGTAAGGTACTAGTTTCTTACTTTTAGTCCAGATCTTACCAGACTGCAGAAGGAGACTTGGGGAGAATTTTGAGAACTCTGTGTTTGTGCTTGTGAGGCTAAATGAGATCTGTCACCCAAATCTACTTCTCAGCTCAAGACCATGGTTCTGTCTTCCGTTTGCAAATCTCAATAGCTCTGTTTTCTCCAAAGTAGAGAGTGCCCATTAGTGTCTAGATCAGATGAGGTCAGTGTCAGCAGGTGGCCTGGGCCTCATTACTGTCTCATTCTGGCTGGTGCTGACTGACCTGGGCACTGGTATTCAGGAGCTGGACTGGTGGGAGTGAGGAGAGGCCAGCAGCTCATCACAGAGTCCCAAAAACATCCTACGGGCTTTTTCCACCTGCCTCAGGTGTGCCCTGGACCTATAGGGCAGACACAAACAGATGTATCAAGCTGTGGCCAGCCTTGGGACTGGTCGTTATGTGGTTAAGGAGGCCCTCAAGGCCAAGCAGAGCTTGCATTTCATTTCTCCTGCTGCGCTGTGTCAGAGTCTGTCTTGTGAACTCTTGCGTGTAAAAGAGGTTAAAAGTCCAGGATCGCTGTACCACTCCTGTAATTAGTGGCGGTTGGTTTTTATAACTTAGCCCCCTCAGACAAGTAAGATAACCTTCAACAGCAAACTAAATGACTTAATTGGAAAACAACAAAAGCTGGCATTATTTCCAAGGATTTCTATAAGAAATATCTATAGAACAACAACTGTGATAAAGGAAGTGTATAAATCAATGTAGACAATTGTATAACATTTTTAGAATTGCATTCTTTTCTCTGATGGTACACCTTTTGTGTTCAGTTCTATAACTCAAAAAACAAAGACCAAAGAAGGCCTATCTCTCATTTGACTCTGTATTTTTAATCTGCCTGTTTTAAAAATTGCCGTCTGTAGTAACCGCTCGCTGTGAGGACCCATCTTGACAGTCCAAGTGATTGTGACCAGTGATTCACGTCCTGTGTTTTTCTGCTCTTCTAAGAAAAAACAAAAAGTATAAGTTATTGCTCAGCAATAATCATGTTG